GCCCCCACTCAGTAACAGTTGAATACTACTTGTGATGTAGCCATATAAGGCCCTTAAAAAGAAACCTGATTATAGACTGCTACTGTATGGGCAGTACCCAAGTTATCAGTTTTGATGCCGTTATCAGCACCAGATCAAGAACGCAGATTTATTTGCTTTGCTAGTAGCAGAAATGATAACCCACAACCCTGAACCCTGAACCACCCTAAATCCTAGTCTGGGCATCCTCAGTTTTGCCCAGATTTCTGGGATCGCGCATCCCACATAAACCCCAGATCCTGCAGCAATTAAAAGAATCCTGGGTCCTCACCCAGCGTGCTTTGGAGCAGGAAAATTCCGCCGAAGATGTCCTTCGCATCGCACACCAGGTGGGACGACTCCTCGTACACCCTGCAGGAACCCCTGTAGCCCCGAATACTAAGCTTTTCAAACCCAAAATCTCCGATTCTGGACCGGACCACTGTGGTTGAGTTGGCGGCAAAACATTCGTGAGGCCCTAGCGGAGCTAGATGCCAACAACAGCGCCACCGCCATCCACAAGGCCCACTGTTGCGAGTTGATATTGAGAGTGTTCCGAAACTCTTCAACGCAGCTCCTTTGATCTGCAAACCATGTCTCAGGGTTAAGATGGCTGTCGAAGGTTGACATGACATGCGACAGCTGCCAGAACTCGACCGGGCTTGCGAAACACAGCAGTTACTATGAACCCACATCCTACGTCTTGATGGCCCGAAGCTGCAAAACCGAGCCTTAGAGACCGTTCTTTGGTGTAGACGTTTTTGCAGCCGCAAAGGCAGCACAGTGTTGCCGTCGCGGTGGCAGAGAGACCGCGAATCTGCGTTGCTGCCTCGGCATATATATAGGGTCGCTTGCGCATCGTTTGTCTGTGCAGAGGCCTTGTAGGCTCTCTGCTGGGCTGCGCAAGGATGTTGCAGACAGTTGTTGTAAGCTTGAGGAGGGCTGCATTGGTTGAGCGCTCTCCGATCGGAGCCCCAACTCCTATAGCCAGTTGCATACAGTAGCTGATCATTTTTGCTCGCAGCTTTGCGCAGACAGCCTGATTCTGATGAGCTGCTGAGGCTCCTATATAGCAACGCCGAGCTAGACAGCTTAGGGTTTGGGGGTTCGACGCCCTCTCCCGGTCATCAAGTCATAATGTATGAAGAGCGTTTGCTGTCTGAGCTGAGGTCAAGGAAAAGTTTTTGTTTCTAGAATTTGGGGTGCCGGGGCTCAGCAGATTTCGAACCTTTCTGTTCAGTGCCTAGGGAGAGGTTGGTTTCAGTCAGTTTGCCTGCAAGGCGACTAACAGACATGGTGGGACACTGACGACTGGGTACCCCCGAGACCCTGAACTTGCTCTACCTTCCACCCTAAGATCCTCAAGCGTTTCACATGCTCCGATGCACAACCCTGGGTTCGATTGAGAGTTTGGATTGCGTTACCAAAACTGCGCACGCCGTTGCGAGCGACAAGTGATCGCCAGCCTGAGCTCTGAAGCTCAAGGTGTCCACGGCCCCCCAGAGCCCCATGCAACAGTTAAGCACCATCAAGACATGTTAGCGGCATCCGAGTGATCTGTTGACATTCTACGCTCGAAACCCAATATTGCTCCTGGACCCCTAGCAGCCGTAAATCCCAAAGCTCCGACCCTGAACCTCCAATCCCACAACATCCCGAAAAGCCAGCCTGAATGATCTAGGAATAGTTTCCCCTTGTAGACTCTTTGTCGTGATCATGCAAGATGCCCCAATGCCTCAGCCCCCACTTTTCCAGACAAAGCCCAAGCTTTACTACACGTCCCGTACGTAGAACCGTTTTCGAGGAACGCGTCAAGGACTTCAAGCATCCTGTAACGATCTTTACCATACCTTGTACCCTAGATTCTGGACCCCGAAGCCCTGACGCCCGAGAGCCCCTGAAGCCTGTAAACCCTAAACTCTATAAACCCTAAACCATACACCCTAAACCCGATAGCGCTATAAGCCCTAAACCCAAAGCTCTGCTTTGCAGAGGGCGAGACACGAGGCTCCTGGAGGCTTCCTTTGCTTTTGAACCGGGGGCGGTGGCCCTTTAGGGGCTTCGGGTTTGGGATTCTTGGGGTTTTGGATCTTGGGTTTTAGGGTTTAGGGTTTATAGGGTTTAAGGTTTAGGGTTTTAAGGGCTTACTAGGGTTCAGGGTTTAAGTATTGGGGTTTACGGCTCACAAAGGGCTCGGGGGAAAGGGATGGAGAGGGGTTGTGTGTTGCAAGAGTTTTGAGTGCTTTAGGAGTATATGGCTTTACATGTTTGTGGTAGTTTCGGGTTTCGGACACTGGATGCGTTGTTTTGTTGGGCTTTGGGATTTTGAAGTATGGAAAACTCGGGATGCTTGTAAGAGAAGGGTCATCTAGATTCCAGCAAGGCACTTGTTTCAAGCACTGAGCCTACTTGCTTCTGCTGTAAGGGTTTCTTTCAGGGACCCCCTATCACAGGAGCCACCCTCTCCCAACGAAGCCACTTCTATCGGGAATCCTGAACCCTAAACCCCCAAAATCCCCACACCCTGAAGCCCCCTAATCCCCCTAACCAAAAGTTCTCAAGTCAACCTGAGGAAACTGTTCCCCTAAGTATCTGTCGTTTGCGAACTCGGTAGGATCTGTATTGCGCAATCCTAAACCTCAATCCTATAGTAAACCCCAAAAAGTTCGAAGCCGGAGTAAGGCCAACTAGTGCTGGGATTCCCTATACAATACTCTTGAGGACCGAGGCTATTGGGTTTCCAACTTTTGGGCTTCTACTGTAAACCCTTAACATAGCACTAAACCCCGAACCTGCAGTCCCGAACCTTGAGCTCATTGGCAAACTCCCCAAGACAAGCTTCTCTTAGATTGGGGGGTCCTTGGGATCATGGAGGGGCCTTGTGGCGTATTCCTATTTTGTCCTTACGTACTTAAAGTACAGTATATTGACCCCTAAACCCCAATCCCGATTTACTAAGGCCCTAACCCCTAAACCCCTCAACCCCCCGAACCGCTATAACCCAAAACCGTAAACCTATCTTTGCGGACTCCCCTGACCAGGTCTTGCGGGTGGCGCACCCGAACTGTGGAGCCTGGACGTCCCGCCATGCTCCTACCATCTAGGTATATGGGCTCCCTGCAAGGGTCCTTTTTACAAGGTTGCCGCCTTCTTTGGGCTTCCTACAAAGGGACCCTATTTAGAGAAATACCCATATAGCGGCGCCTGTGCATTTGCAGTGTTTCACCCGCAGGCCTTAATTCCTACATCGGAATTCCCTGAGCCGCTATACAACCCTGAACTCGTACGTTCCAAGACCTGCCTCGAAAGTATTCGGTTGACAGTGACACTTCTTAGTCGGGAGGTGCGGTAGCCTGAAAGCTTCAGGACTGGGAACGATAAACACCCCTCAACCCCAAAAGTGTGGTAGCACTGGTTCCAGAACAGATACCTTCGTGTCTTAGCTTTGGAGTGAAGGTTTTGGCGTGAGGGTTTGAGGTTCATAAAGTTGAGGCTTTGACGGTCATGGTTTAATGGCTCTTCTGTTGCATGAGGAGTCTCTCTTAGAGTGGTAACAGTGTACCTAGGGGATAGAGGAGAGAAAGTCGAAGCCGGAAATCCTGAGATCCCAAGCCACCTCCCTTGGTTTCTTATGTTAGTAGGAAGCCAGCATTAGACCCACTCATCCCATGCATGGCTGCATCCATGCTCAGGTCAGCTATGCCACGTTGCCTTGCCGGCTGAGTTTGTTTGGGCAGCAATCCTTGCTTGTCACTCAAGTGTTGGGTTGCGGACTCATTACTTCCTCAAGCCATTAATGAACCCATAAAGCCTTACATCCAAAGCTTGCTCAAAGCCAACAAACCTTACTTCTCTGCCAGGCCTGGTCCTTAGCAGTCCTCTCCATGAATGGAGGCCTTGCATGTGTCTGTGTGTGTGTGTGTGTCTGTTATGTACATACAACTATAACGAATATATATATATATACAGACACATATACATATACATATGTTATTCAATATGTGCACTTCGTATGTGTGCAGAATATGAATATCTGCGTACATTTTGTTTAGAGTACACTACAATACACTTTACATCCGTCAATACACGATACACACCGCAAAACATGATATACATTGCAATACATCAAAGTGACATTACAATATTCAAAGTACAGTTCATTACAGTACGTACACCACCATGCGGTACAGTATGGTATACCACGGTACTCTACAAGCTGATGATGTATTATGTTGTGCACACGAGGCAGCATATCTCAACGCAGCACATGTCTCGTTCCAATATTACATTATGGCCATAGTATATACTGACCAAAACCAATGCACATTATCAGTAAGATATGCACATACACTGTTGGCCAGAATACATACACCAATGTGTACAGAGATATACACATACATGTATGTGCGTGTATATCTATATGTATAAGAGAGAGAGAGAGAGAGAGAATGTGTGTGTGTGTAACGAGAGAGAGAGGGAGAGAGCTTCATTATAGGGAGGTGAACATAACACATCACAACACAAACCCCAGTATACGCCGGAAGCGGGACCCCTGAACCCAATATCCTGAGCGGCGATGTATTTCTGTCAACGCCGATAGACGCTGAACCCTACTGTCGGCTTGCGGGGAAGGTCACACTGCTCAGCTTCTGGCGGGGGCCCGAGGAATGTCTGAGTTGAAAGGGCCATTGAAATGGTGTAGGATGTATAGGATTTAGGATTCAGCTTGCTTCATGAATAGGATTCCGGTGCGCTAAGCGGTACATCCGAAAAGTAACCCCTCAACCGAGCCCCAAACCCTAGTTTGAGACAACGTGGTTAGGGTGTTGCAGGCCCGCAGGTGCCGTTTTATGCACCATAGTCACGAAGCATGCTCGTTGCCACGTGTATAGCAAACTCCGCAACTCTCAACCCTACATCCTTAATTCCAAAATGAATCCAAAATCCTGGGCCCTCAAGCCTTAAATCCAACTTTCAAACCCTAAAATCCTAAATCCTGAATTCAAAATCCTAAACTCCCAAGCCTGTGCATCGTGAAGCCCAGTACTTCTTGCCGCCACAGGCCGATGTTTGCGACGCTTTCGGGCGACGGGTCGCCACAGAAGGCGTTCCCCAGGAGCTGCACTTCAGGGACAGGGTGCCTCAAAGGGATCTATAAGAGATCTATATGGGTTCAGGGTTCAGGGTTGAGGGGTTTGGGTTTTAGGGTGGCAGGGTTTAGAGATGTAGGTCTGGGGGCGTGAGTTTGGGGCTTGAGCAGTTTACGGTATAGGGTTTGCGGTGCCTACGGGTGTACCGTCTGGGCTGGGTCCCACACTCAGCGCTGCACGACGTCACTGTGTTGTTCGTCGTTTTCCTGTGTGCCTCACTCGGATTCGTTGTTCATGGTATGACGCAACGTAAATGCGCAGGCAAAAGCACTCAATTCCTGCAGCTGCCAGGACATGTCCACCTTTGTTTGGTCCCTGGCGGCTGGGCCCCCAAAGCTTTTACAGCATGCTGGGGAAGCATCTTCACAAAGTGACAGGCTGCATAAGGCTAGGGTTTTTGGTTTAGGGCTGAAGGTTGCGATTTCATTGTCTCCAGCTGTTCAAAAGTTTGGGAATTTGCTCCCATGTGGAGGACATGTCAGATCAGCGCCCCATCTGCTGTTCTTCGCAAAAAGTTGATCCCAGTACATACCTTACAGGTCCATGCTGTACAGGTACAAGGACCCTTCGCGATCCCAAGACCCTTCCCCCCTGGCCAAATCTTGGGTGTAGTGTTTGGGGCTACGAGGGTTTTTTCTCCCGAAACCCGAAAGCATAGCCCCAAATTAAATTTCGCCTCATCCCCAAAGCCTGAGCCCCAAACCCTGTAGGTTTAGGGTTTAGGGTTAACCCAGGAATAAATAAACCTCGCCTGTTGTAAACCTTGCCCTCGATACAATTATGGGGCGTTTTGGCTCCAGGGTATTGGGGTTTATAGTTTGCGGCTTCTGGTTTTCAGGGCACCACGGTTTCAGGTTTCAGTCGTAGTCATTTTCAATCTGAAATTGGGTGTTTCGGAAATTCCGTTGACCCAGCAGTGTAGAACTGGCAGAAAGCAGAACGTAGAACTCGTAGTTCTAGTGGCCCAAAACAGGACCATAATTATTTCAATCACGCCGCAAATGCTGCAAGCCCAAAACACTATACGGCCCGCGGCCTAAACCCTAAACTCGATCGAAGCCCCAAGCCAGCCCCTCGACAATGAACTCCCTGTTTGAGACTTTACTCGCCGTGGACCACTCGCCGGCCTTTGACATTACGATGAGGCCACTGCGGCGTGTTCAGGGTTTAGTGGTTTTGCTTTGGGGGTAGTTAGTCGATTGCTGGCTCCTACTTCGAGGATCATGGGATTTAAGAAGTCAGGTTATAAGTAGATTCAGTGGGCTACTACAAGCAATTATACCCGTAGCTACTGCATTTAAACATAACGCTAGCTACGAAGTGCCATGATCCTTTTCGTACCAGAAAGGCCCATAGTTTGGATTTGGGATTTGGTGTCCGGGGACGAGTTCCTGTCCAGCTTTACTCAACTCCCCAAGCCTTCTAACATCCACCTATGACCATGTTGGGGATCCAACGATAGTGTAGGGTATCTTCCTTCGCTAAGGTAACTCTTTACGTAGTAAACCGTGGCGACCCATGGAAGGTCATCCATCTGCCTGCCCCCAAAAAAACCCACGAGCTCGGACTTCTCGATCTTCGGACCTTAAAGTTGGGGAGCTGCTGATATGGGCTTAGAGGCCTGAATAATTGCCAGTCCTGTATTCTTCCTGAACCTTTCAGAAAAAGAACATGTAGAACAACACACCCCGAAACCCCATTCAGGCCCATAGATGTGCATGCATTTCTATATATATATATATAGACAGATAGAGAGAGAGAGAGAGAGAGAGATATATATATATATATGTATGTATACAGTACTGGTATTTTGGGAGTGTTTGCAAATTTCCTTCGGAAGATTATGGCTGCTGGAATCTCTGTAGCAGTACCACAGGCTTTGGGCATGAGGCCAGGTGGGCTTTGTTGGGGCTATCATGGCAGGGTTTGGGGTTTAGATACCATGGGCGAGGTCAGGGAATTCAATTTGAGGGTAGGGCCGGCTCCGAAATCTCTTATTTTGTGTTTCAGCTCACGAACCCGCCGGGAATGGTCCCGGCAAGTATGATTGTGTCCTGAGTGTGGAGCACGTTGTTCACCTGGGTGGTTGTTGCAAATTGTGATTCCTCGTCTTATATTCTCAACAAAGCCGCATGAAAGACACCTACGAGTAAGTTTCAAAAACTACCGTTCAGTGACAAAGACTCAAGCGTGAAAGAAAAGCCAAACCAGGCCTTCAATTGCGCCTATAAGCCCTAAACCCTGAGCCGAGATCTGAGCCCCGGAGACCAAAGGCTCATTTCGCAGCCACCACTGCCAAACTCGATCTTATAGCCGGCCGTCAACAAGCTCTATAAGCCTAAACCCTGAACCCTAAAACCCTAAACCCGAAAGCCCTAAAGCGCATAAACCCTTTACTCGAGGGATTCTCAACCCTTGTAGGGCTTAGGTTTAAAAGTACTAGACATCCCCTATTAGATGTATGTTCAGGTTAAGCTTGTTTGGGCTAAGGTATTCAGTGCTACTCAGCCCTTAAGTATGATGGTGACCTTCGAAGTCTTGAAATCACACATCCATCCAGCATTTGATTTCCTGTTTCGTGTTACGAATCTAAACCCCGGAACACACTGAACCCTACAAACGGAACGCTGCAAACCCTAACCGCGAAAAAACTAACCTTGCAATCCTAAACCCTACAATCCCAAACCGCTTTAAGCCGTTTCAAGCCCTAAACCCAGCAACTCAAAGCCCAACCGATATATATATATATATATATACATACATACATACATACATACATACATACATACATACATACATGTACCATAGAGCCCACCGACAATCAGCACAAAATCTTCGGATACACCCAAACCCTATTAATCAATCCTGCATAGCACCTTCTACTGGACGACGGAAGTGCTTAGATAAAACATGACAAAACCCTTAAACCATCCAACAAACCTTAACAAATTCATCATTCAAAGATCCGTACATAAGAGACATCGTCAACACCGAATTAAGGCCCTAGCGCATGAGAGCCCAAGCAGGGCGTCGATGGAGAAACTATCGGAGTTCGGCGTGCAGGCCGCCGTTGCTTTGCTACTTGTTGTTTTGTATTGAGCTTGCGGTGTCTTCATAAGGATTTCCATACGGCTGTACGGAGCTTATAGAGCTTTGTAGGACGCTTGCTGGGTTTATGGAGATTTCGTGTGGAGTTCTTCAAGGGATTTTAGCGGTTCAGGCCTTTGGTGTTAAGACTCAGAGTTCAGGTTTTATGGCTCATTTAGGTTCGAGGCTTCAGGGATTGGGTTCCGGGCTCTTAGGGGGTAAGTTTTTGGGGCGTGTGCCACCATTACGTACGAGCGCACACTAGATCTCGGATTCTTGGCGTTTCGGCTGTTTCTGCCTGGCTTTCTATGAGTGCTTATGATGCCTCAGAACCGATAGGGACATGATTCTGGATTGCTTTGCTTGATGGTACATGGATAGAGGTCTGCGTTTCGGGGTCTAGGGTTTATGGCAGGGTTTGTTGACCTGAAGGTGTCTAAGGCCCTCGATTTGATGGCTTGTGGCCGCAGGACCACTGGGCTTCGCTATGTCAGGTTCTAGGATGTATATCCAACAGATTTGGCAGATGTGAGGAAGATGTCAGAGGTTCCTGAAAGTGATTATACGTTGGATTGTTACTACCCCCATTGGTTTCATGAGAATGTCCTGCGGAAGTCTCTTCCTGCAGATGCGTTCACATGTCTGTCGCAGTTTCATGACCATTATCATTATGATCTTTGCATTGTTCATGGTGATGCTGATTATTGCTGTTCTCAATACCGTTAGTCTGATTAATCACTCTCTATAACTACTGTTGTCATGTACTCAGCAGGACTTGGCTATATCGGCATGGGCCCTGGCGAAGCTTCTCTTTGCCGAGCGGCGTCCCTTTCTCGCGGCTCTCCGGCAGCACGAAGCGAAGCTGGTGGGCTTGCATCTTTCGGCCAGTTATATTGTGGTTATGAAGGGACTTTAGACAAAACGGAGGGCTTTGGATTCACCGGGCTATGCTTCTCGTGATCTTATACCGGGTTTAGTATCTAAGTGTTTCCACCTGTGTGAGCGTGGAATCTCAGGGCTGCAGGATCTCAGGTGCAAGTTCTTCGGATCGGCTTGGGGCAAGCAACGTTGCTTAAGGAAGCCCTTGTGCATGACATCTCTTGTGCCTCTCTCGAGGCATCTACAGGAGACCTCTCAGCTTCAAAATGCCCTTCTCTGACATGTCCTACCAAAATGGATCGGTTTTTGCTCAAGAAGTAGCTGCACCAGACCAAGAAGCGCAGACAGCATGAGGGACATCCCGGATAGGTATGATCTTAATCGGGACGATTCCCGCGAGATCTCGTCAGAAGGCGCGATACTTCCAGCAACAACCAAGGGAATGAGAGTTGAACGTAACGTCTCTAGCGGTGCGGAAGATGGTTGTGCGTGTAGTTGTGATAAAACCCTCAAGCAGTCAAAGAGGGCACCCACTACATCATCCTCAAGCCGCGTTGCATCCAAATTGGCGCGCGAAGCATGCCAGAGTTGGAAGAGCAGGAAGACCACTTTTAGGTAAACGGCATGGACAACACTTGATCAGGCAGACAGCATGGTAGCCGTATGCTGCCAGACAGACTCATATGCAAACACCACACTAGCTTTCAGAACCCGCGTCATTGAACCCACACGGCTACACCAGCCCATCTGTCTCTGCGTGTACAAATAGGAAGTCAACTCTTCCACTTCGGACCCGATCCTTCCTTCGAGCTGTAGGTTCAACAACCTGGCACGTACCACCTCTACTCTGCTCCAGAAACTCTTAGACTCAATCTTCAGCACAGAGGCCTTTGGGGCATTTTACATTGTCCCTTACTGGTCCCAGAGGATCTGATTCAGGAGTACTCTTTCCGGAGCTTCAGAGGGCCAACCTAAACCCTGCAAACCCTGCAACCCCCTCGACCCTAAACCCCTGAACGTGCGAAAAAGTCCACCCTAAACCCTAAACCCTAAACCCTAAACCCCTAAACCCCAGAACCCCAAAGAACCTACAGAGAAAGCTGAGGCATTTGCCTCGGAGTCGACCCGGAAGCTGCAGGCCGCCCCGCTTGGTGCATTGCAGGCTTAACCGGGCTCTGAAACCGGCAACGTGGAGTTTAGGGCTTATAGGGTTTGTAGGGTTTATAGGGTTTATAGGGTTTATAGGGTTTGTAGGGTTTGTAGGGTTTATAGGGCTTATAGGGTTTATAGGGTTTGTAGGGTTTATAGGGTTTAAAGGGTTTATAGGGTTTGTAGGGTTTGTAGGGTTTATAGGGTTTATAGGGTTTATAGGGTTTGTAGGGTTTATAGGGTTTGTAGGGTTTATAGGGTTTATAGGGTTTATAGGGTTTGTAGGGTTTATAGGGTTTATAGGGCTTGTAGGGTTTATAGGGTTTGTAGGGTTTGTGGGGTTTGTAGGGTATATAGGGCTTATAGGGTTTAGAGTGTAATTGAGTAATTACCAACATTGTTGCGAGTTGTTCCATAGGGCCCATGCATGTAAAGCTTAAGATCCTCCAAAACCCCATTCTCTAATCATGGAGGCGGCTATGGTAAGGGATTAGGTTCAAGGTTTAACCCGAAAGCACGCTAACCCCCGAACCTGGTAGGCGGCGGAGACAAAACAGGCGCTCAATAAAGGAAGAGCCAGACACCACATAGGATCCTAAACCACCGGGCACCCGGGCCCTAGACCTTAAGCCCTAAACCCCTTAAAACTATAAACCCTAAGTTCCAAAATTAAGTCATCTTTTAGAGGGGTTTAGGGTTTAGGCCTTTAGGGTAGTCGGTTTGTAAGTTTAGGGTTTAGGGTAGTCGGTTTGTGGCTTTAGGGTTTAGGGTAGTCGGTTTGTGGGTTCAGGGTTGAGGGTAGTCGGTTTGTGGGTTAAGTATGTCTGGGGGGACTGCATGATTGTTAGGCGCTTGGACCCTTATAGGGTAAGGTGTTGAAATGTTGCATTGCCTGGGTCATCGTATTTCCCCATACACTCCTAAATGATTAAGGTTGCAGTTGTCTTAGTCAGGACCCCAGATGGGGACACGTGTAGAAAAGCCCTCATCTGTCATCTGCGCAGCAAGCGCAAGTCTGTGGAATTAGGCCCCATGCCTCACCAATTTCAAAGCTGCCGCAGACTAAAGGCTTGTGGGGTATAGTTTTGTCTAGGGCCTCTTGTGAATTAGTAATTTGTACGTCTATGTAGCATCGCAAAAACCCTGATAACTTTTATCGATCTCTATAATCCATCTTCGTGACCCTACCTGCTGGTCAAAAAAGCAGCGGTTTTAAGGGTTAGGCTGCATAATTTAAGGTCATCTTGTGGGTTTGGGGGCTGGGGGTACTACAGATATTTGTCGTCAAATTATTGTTGTGTTATTGTTGTCGTCATCGTTTTTATCAGTGTATTGTCAAGACAGAGGGTCCAAGCAGGGTCTTGGGTTTGGGGAGCTTCTCATGCAGGAGTTTGGCGGCCGTAATTTGTCAAGCATCTCGTGGGCCGCTGGCTCAGGTGGCAAGACAGGCGGAAAGCTGAAGGAAGGATAATAAAAGAAGCCTGAATATAGTGCCACATTGATCTTCCAGGTTAAGTCAGTTTAGTAAAGTATGCTATACCCCCAAAAAGTCTTATACCTCTTCTAATCATTGATACTAAGGTCGCCATACTACGGTTTAGGAGTTGTGGAAATTTCGGGCTTAGGGAACAGAGGAGTAGTTCTCTAAACTAGGGTTCCTTCTTAGGTCCCCAAGCTAAAAAATGTACAGCACCCTTATAAACAGGACCGTAAAACGGACCCAATTTAGAGAACTGCAGATGGATAAGTCCGCACAGGGTTGCGAAGGTTCGTGGGTCGTGGCAAGTCAAGTGCGTATGAAAACCCTACTGTAACCCCTGAACCATAAACCCAGGTCCTAAACCCCAAGCCCGAAGCCCTGAAGCCAAATCCTTGTCCCTAAACGTTAAACTATACTTTTTTTTCGATGTGTTGTCTTTGAGTTGGAGCGTTTGAGTGGGTTAGCAAGCGACAACCCCGCACTCTAGGAACATGGCTACACCCCAAACCCTAAATCCGGCAGTATAGGGTTGGACCCTCGTCTTCGAGCTCCAAACCCTCACTTCGGGGGCCCTAGGCCCTAAACCTCAACCTTAGCGCCTAGACTCATCCTAAAAGGATCTAGGTTGCAATTTCACGATAGGTTCCTTCTGATGTTGCAGATGCCAGGTGTCAGCGCCGTTCTAGTGTCCAGCTACCAAGCCATATGGGATTGTTTTTCGCACACTTGTGTATTATAGTAAAGCGTAGTATGTTAGTACATCACATTATATTTCAAAGTCCCCGTAGATCTACTACTCTTCACTACTGCGTGCAACACTCTGATCTGACCCATTCGACAATAACACCCCCCAGGTCCGCTATACTGCCCCACGGTGCATTTTCATGATGCAGAGACCCCTGCAAGCCTGTGCATGCTGGCGTTCAAGGCGTTCAGCTATTGAGAATAAAGGTCCTAAGCCAATCCCATGAAAAACATTCTCAGTATAGGGCTCCTGACATATGAGTACTCCTTTTAGGGTTCGCAGGCATGGTCACAGTCAGAAACTTGTGAATAATCATGCGAGTGGACGCGACGGCGGCTGCAAATGCACATGATCAGGATCTACGCAAATCGTAACGGTCGTAACGTCCAGGCCAACAGCTCGAAGACATCACAGTTGTGATAAGCAGTAGTATGTGTGCACACTCATCATCAGCGGCAGCATCGTAACAGTAGCAGTAACGATGGCAAACCTCGCTGTTGGGAGGCCAACCCCCACCAGACAACGGAGGTGCACTCAACGAAAGTCCAACGTCTCAGAAGCCCACCTGGACCTCGTTGTAGCCATGAGCCCAGTGTCCTAGACCCCCATCAGCTGGGATGGATGCGCTGTCGATTCTTGCAATCGCTTGTGCTGCGCTGACGTTCTGCTTGGCGATATTCTGGCACCCGGCCTGCAACTGTTGAAGACGACTCCAAAACCCAAACGACGTGCAGGGTGACTAGCAGAACACTTAGAGTAGGGTTGTCATGTTGGTTCTCTTCGCATGTAGGTTTCTGGACACGATAATCGGGGCGTCGTTCCTGATTGTTTCGACTCTTTGCTCGAGCATGTCTTTTTGCGCTTTCTTGTATAACCCGTACGATTAAAAAAAGGTTGTGAGACCTCATGCAAGGCCCCAAACCACGCCAGAATGTACGCCGAAGTGCCCTTGAGTTAGTCTTTCAAGTTTTCAGGTTTTCGGCCATCTATGTACATCTACTTGCAAGTCTTTTCAAAGCTTACTGTGGCTCACTTTACCTTTGGTATTCTTGGGAGTCGGTGTTCCGAGGCTCCCGGGTTCCAAGGCTCCTCGGCGCCTTCCCTCCCCCAAAGTCCCTATATAGAATGCCCAGGATCACGGGCTCGTTTTCAAACGTCAGGAATCTAGGAAAACTCAGCACTGCACCGGATTCGCCCACGATCCAAGGTTTTGTGTGGATGCCCCGAAGCTTTTTGCATCCTGGCGTGCGAGCGATGCCCCGCGCAAGCTCGGCATTTTCCTGCGCATCACGCCATGCTTCGATGGTCTCATCCGGCACTCCAGCTCCGTTTGAGAGTAAACTCAATGATTTCTTAAGAAAGATGGTCGTGATTTCAATAGTCCTCCCCTACTTCATTGCCAGATACACCTTCACAGTCATCCTTCTTTTGCCTCCCTGCACAAACCCTCGACCCAAGCCCCGAAATCCCAAGCCTGAATAGGAACTATAGCGGTTCCGTAAGGGTTCTTGCTCCATGAGGTTTCGCAAGTTAAGGTCAGCGTTAGGGATAACCGGGTTTAGGATGTAGAACTTTTTGAGTTTGTGGGTGTTTTGTTCTGTATTGTTGCAAACCACCAGCCAACCAAAATCTTTGTTTTGGGTTTCGCTAGAGTATACAGATTCTGCTTGAGTTCCTTCCGACTTCATCCCGTTACCACGGAATACTCGTAGAAGTAATCATACGTCGAAACTTCATACGGAAGATGAAGCCAGTAGTAACAGTGGTAACATAGCAACAGCCGCCAATAGCATCACATCCTAAATCCTAACTCGTAGACCCTGGAAGGAACTTCAAATGCCACCATGTCAGCGGAGACGGTGAGCTGCGAGGGCAGATCACTGCAGAGGCAGGTAGTTCAGACGTAAAGGAAACATTACTTAATATGTTTGGGGTGGTTTAGGGTTTCGGATTTGAAGCTTAGGAAGTGTAGGGTTAATAAAATTCGTGCACAACTCCAAGGCTTTATCTTTATCGTTCCTCTGGGGCACGGCGCTGGACGAAAAGGCTTTCTATGGATTCTAAGGCTTTCTGGGATTCGTGGCACAGACTTTCGAGCCACCAGCTTCGACCATTCGCCCTCTCCTTGTTCCACCCTTGTAAATGCAACGAACTCCCCTGGTCCACTATCTTCAAGCTCCGCGTTGCAGCTGCCTGAAGTGTCAGCTTTCGGAACTCGAAGCCGGAACGGATCGTTGGAGCATGTTGGGCTAGATATTAGTAAGTTATGTTTGATTCGTAGATCTCAAGTGATGTAATACACACCTTTCTTACTTGTTTCGCCTGACTCGTGCACTTCGTAAGAGATGTTGGGCTACCAATCTGAAAAGGTAGCAACGTCTTGGTCAAAGTCGGGAGTGCTCGCAGTCCAAACGGATTGCCAGCCATACCGCACTCATACACACGGACAAAGCCATCAATGTCTTCAGGAGATCTTGATTTTGAGCAAGCAGAGCACTTCGGATGGGGGCAGTGTGACTTGCCATGGTAAACTGTTACATCCTCACGACAAGTCAGAAATATCTAACCAGGTTTCAGACCATCCGAATCCTAGTGCCGGAGGCACCCCTGCTTGCAGAAACTGGACTCATGGAAGAAAGCGCCGTAGCGCTGCTACTCGACGCCCGGCTATGGCATTACAACTTGAGTTTATGGCTTCTCAGGGTTCATAGTTAGGGTCAGAGAGCCCAAACAACTTACGTAAGGCCTGTATTGGGATGTCATTGTTTAGTTTATTAGCATCGAGGGCCTCCGGGAAGGAGCTTGGGTTTGGGGGGTTTCAGGGATGCAAACAGGGGTATTATTGCTCGGAGGTGGGTCTGGGATGCTTCTTTTTTACTTTCGACGCCTCTCTGTGGGAACCAAAACCCCACACCCCTAAACCCCTATGGGCGGGTGGAGGTGGAGGGGTTGATGGACTCAGCTGCGGAGGAGACCTTGTCAGGTGCCTTCGGTGCTTTTGGGCTATGTGATGGAGGGAGGAAGGGAGGGCGGGGCCAATCCTCGACTGGAGGCCGAAGCTCCTCAACACTCCCTAAAACCCAAGCTCAAAGCCTGGCGCTCGAAAGCCAATCCCAATGTTCGGATGAAGTCGAAGCAGGACAGCCTGACTGGCTTTACGCTTTGGTCTGCTGGATATCCTGGCTTTGTGACTGCCGAGCTCAGCTTCACCGTCAAAAGGACGGCGGCTTGATCAGGATAGGGGATGATGCGGTGCGGAGTTGTTTTGTGAAGGAGGGGGGTGCATACAGACACGCACATGGGCGACAAACAAATATCATCGCTATGAGAGCAATCTTGTGCTGAAGGTTGCCAGGAATGCTTGGCAGCTCTCTACATGCTTTTTCCTATCCAGCTAGTTCTTCTGCAACGCTTGGACTTGGCAGGATTTGGTTGCGTGTTGTTACAGAATGCAGCAAACCCCAAACGCCTAGCGGCTATTGATTTCGTTTCGTGTTCTGTCCTTTTTGGGATGGGTTTCTGTGCTCTTACCCTCGTTTCGAAGGGTATACAAGCTTCGTTTTGTGTAGTTTGCAGGGCTGCCGCTTTCTGAGTGTCTGTGAACTGTTACATGTTACACACAGACCGGAATGGTTGCGGGAGAGTTCTGGATATTTGGCTGGAAAACCCTAAATCCCAAGCCCTAAACCCGAAACTCAACCCTAAACCCGAAAGAACCGCCTGCCCGAAGATGTCAGGTCAGAAAGGGGGAGGAGCTCTTTGTGAAAGCTTGGCTGAAGCAGAAGCCGACCGTTCCGGAGGACAAACGTCTCCGCGTGCCTGTGGCCGCAGGCAGCAGATCCAAATCATCAGTTGACATCGCGCACCGTTGCGCCGAAGAGCCCTACGAATCGTGTTTGAACTGCAATCGATTCGATTCATGATGACGATGCTGATGATGATGTTGTTGTGGTTGGTGATGATGATGACGAGGAGTTCCGAGAAGGAACAAACATGCATGCAGGAATATATGCTCGATAACCTGCATAAGCCTGCTCCTTCGATATCTGCTGTAAGATCAGCTGTTGCTTAATTTATTGTCCTGGTATGTCCTAATGGTTGAACCGTACTGGGGTTCGTGCCGCAGGCTAGGCTAGGGCAATCTAAGCGAGACGCCGAACAGCTTGTTGTTTATGGCCAGAGTGCCCGAGTTTCAACG